CGTCGATGTGTCGACACGCAGTCTAGTACCTAATGGTATACGTCGTCGGTCCCAAAGTTCTGTCATAAATGGAAATAACGATAATAACAAAAGTACTCATCCGTTTTTAATGAGTGATATATCAATTTATAGTACATTCAAAATCATGTTCGAAAAATAATGTGCCAGTGACAGAACTTTGTCACCAACTACGTATTCGGGACTGATACTTAGCGCTGTCTCTCTGAGTTACCCTAAAATATTCTATATTTTGGTGCTTAGCGCCATGTCCAACAACGATTAACCAAAAGCAAACGTGAACGCCTAATTAGCGTGTAATTCTCAGAGTCAGACAGAAACATATTGCATTTTGACATACGGGAGCCAAGCCTTTGAATTAACCTTTAAAAAATTGATGTGCAGTTCGAAAATACTCCTTTAGCTTATGTAGGTAAAGTAAAAAACGATGTTTTAAATTAACCGGTTCGCTCGCCTTAGGTTGTGTGTAATGAGGAGTAGTATCGACACACCCCGTCACTCTGACACCACATAATTAATTAAGGTATTATTCTAAGAACTCATTTTAGTATTTTGGACGTTTAATTGATAGCTTTTTTTGAGTACATATTTTGTGAATGATGACAGATGCAGAAATGTCTGCTCCATGGTTCGATTCAAGGTAAAACAAAATTGTTTCACCTTCTGTTACATATAAAATGTATCATTCCATGTTCAAACAATACAGTAGGTGTATCGAGAAATACCCATTAAAATACCAATATTAATATCGATACAATAACTAAAATCGGATATTGATTCTGTTCGAAATACATTATATAAATTTTATAAAATTGATGAGGGTGATTCCAAATATTTTTACACGGCCGATCGACACATTTTTTTGTTAGTCTTTTGTTGAGCTTCTTTCGGGTTACGTGTTCTCGAGCATCTAGCATTTTTTATTTGGATAATACATACTGCGTACTGACCTGTAGTGCGTGTGTCAATAGCAATAAGTAGCGTCACTATCTGTCTCGCTCACACTTTACGCCATCTTATTTAAACCACGCTGTGGTTATTAGGAACGCTTTGGGTACACTAGAATAGTTTTTTGTAATTCCAGAGAAATTTTTAAAAAACAGACTTTGTTTAACAAAATTTTTTTTATGGCCGATCTAAGAAATAATGAAGTAAGAATTATACCACGTTAGAATCCTTATTAAATGCGCGAACTTTTAAAGCTGCTTGCCAAACTGGAGTAGTACATTTTTTTCAGGACGATCAGTTGAACTAGTGCGAAAAATTAATTTTGAAAACTTGGTACGGTATAAAATGACATTTTCCTACAAGTTGGAGTGATCGGCACAGGGTTTAGGATCATAGGTTACATAAAGCACTATTCGGGATGACGTAAGAGAAAAAAATTGGCAAAAAGTAAATATTTGTAACAACAGGAATGAAAAAACTGTCACATGGTTGTACATTTTCTGGAATAAAAGGAAAATTTCCATAACTTCAAAAATACATGACTTAATTTTTTTTTAATTTTTCTGATAACTGGTGTGGCATTACCTATGAGAAAATTTCGACTTGACGTCGTCTTTTGGGACACCCTGTATACTTTTTGTTAATTATATTTGATTATAGATACGTCCACTATTTAGAATTTTATAGTGAGTGTTGTTTAAGAACTATTGTGAGGCAAGGTATCAATCACCATCAGTCTAACCTCTTTTTGTGCCCATACTAAAACTAATCCCAAATCCTTACGGCCGATAATATTGTGTGCCTATCTTTCTGTAAGGAGACATTGACGAGGTATGTACTCAGGACATATTATTTTAATATGAATTGTGTATCGACGGCCACCGAACCGTTCTTTGTGGTACAGATTCACATCAGCTGTTAGCGACTGATGAACAATTTACCGCACCACGAGCTACTCATATTGGACATCGAATGATCGTTCGGGCGAGAATCGATTCCTAGATTTAGCGACATTAAATATTAGATTGCTATTCGTTTAAAATTTGAAAATTGAGTTTTCTTTAGAGATACAATTAATATAAAATCTAATATATAAAATTCCCGTGTCACAATGTTCGTTCCCGAAACGTCTCGACCGATTCTTATGAATTTTTTAATGCATATTCAGTATTTATGAGAATCGGCTACTATCTATCTTTCAAACCCCTAAATAATAAGGGGTGTGAAAGTTAAAAAATATTTTTATTTTTTAGACAGTTTTTCTGTTTTAATATTTTTTTAGGTCACAGCAATTTTCACCCTTCTACGATCAACCACAATTTTTTTATTATTACAGATAGTTATTTTTACTGAACTTAAAACTGAAAAAAAATTTCCTAGAAAGCAACGTTTGCCGGGTCAGCTAGTAAGTATATATATTGACAAAACTAATAATTTATTTAAATGAAGGTGAGAAGTCCTCTGTTTTGCTATTATTAGAATCAAGGTTCGATCTGCAATATCTCTTGGCTACTGAGCCAGTTGTTGGAACTAATTATGTATAAAAATGTGTTACTGACTTTGGTTTGTACTGTTTCGTTAACAATTGAACGCGAACTTTATAGAATAAAGTAGAAGTTTTATTCTACATTAATAAAAAGAAAATTCATTAAGGAGACGGGAGCCTTTGCTTCCGATGTCAAATAGGAGTAGAAAATTTGATTCTTTACAATTTAAGAAAGGAATTACGCTCGTGTGTGATTAGTGTATCCAGCCATAGATTCAGTAGCGCTAATTCCCTATAAATATGTTTCCTCAGACTTTGTCTTATTGCCTGAAACACCGAGCTAAGTCTTGCGACTAAGACAGTTTCCTCGCAAGGTTTTCCTTCATTATTTCGTATGGTCAGTGGGAATAGATGGAAATATCTTTTGGGGTATTGGAGTAGTTTGAATTAAGCCTAAGACCTACAACGCACTAGCGGCTGGCCGCAATGCGGCGCGCCGCTGCGGCAGGCCGCACATCGATTATTACATGAAACCGCACGATTACAACGCACTGACTTGCGGACAACCGTCAACCGCTCCGGTTGATCTGGAGCTGCGGCGAGCCGCACCGGTTGAATGATGCGGCGCGCCGCATCCCCTCCACGCACTCGGCGCGGTTAGCCGCAAATACCACGTCCCACCCGCCTCAGTCATCGCTTGTTCCTTGCGCTAGACACTACGCAGAGTTTTTTATTATATTTTCTACGATGATATAAATAAATAACTACCGCAACTTCTTCAACGTCCATCATGTGCAATATTTCAAGAAGCACTTGACGAGTGACGATTGCGGCAGACCGCAATAGGGACGATTAGCCGGAATACGGCATGCCGCTACGGCAGACCGTATATACCGCGGCCTGCCGCAGCGGCACACCGCATCGCGGCCAGCCGCTAGTGCGTTGTAAGCCTAAATGGTAAATGGAAGTAACAGATCCTGTTACAATTTTTTTAAATTATTTGCAAAAAACATTAGATAAAAGAGATATAGTATATAGTATACCTTTCGTATAAATATTACCGAAACCGAATCACGCAACAACATGCTTGCTTTCAATAGAAAAATGGATTCCGAATCTTAATAAAAATATAATCTTCTATTGTTAGTGAACAAAATACGAAGTCACATTATATAGAGGCTTATTATTTGGGCGTATATAATAGAGCCTAACGTGACCGAAGCCGCGTGACAACCACACGTACAAATTCTTTCAGCGGGACACAGAAGTATGTTCTAGATATTTTGTAATAAAATGCCTCCTTTTGCGTCACATCGTGGTGTTTCCGAACTTCGTTGTAGCAGGACAAAACAGCTTTCATGCCGAATCCTTTCCATTTCGTCCTTGTCCATTAAGCGGCTTCTTTACGTTAAGACGAGATAAATTCCAGTTTATGTTTGTAATAAATATATTCTGCAATTTGAAGTTGGAATATTTGACAGATTACTTGGTGCATGGTGGTGAGCCGAATCAAAATTTGACAATTACCTGTTAAATTCTGGCACGCAATTCCTGAATAATATTTCCTTTTTTTTACTTGTGTGGAAAAGCCATAAAAAGCATAATAAACATATAAAAAACAAAAAAGTTTTTTTAATACGCTTTATATTAGCTTCACCTGTATGTATGTATGTATGTATGTAACCGACTCCTTCGGACTCGATTTTGACCCACTTTTAACGGACAGATTTAATTCAAACTTTGCGCACCTGTCAAAGATCGATGACAATGCAATAATCCGAAAAAAAAAAATGAAAAAAATAAAAAAAAATTAACTAAAAAATAAATAACTATTATTTATTTTTTAAAAAAATTAGAACACACGCTTAAAATTTATTTTCTGTTTTTTAGTTCAGTTTTCTATATAAAGCGTGTGTTCTAGTTTTTTTAAACTATTATTTATTATTTAATTGTTAGTTAAAATACAAATTAATTATCCATAGGTGGCCAAAACAGGACAACACCTGCCAATTTCTATAACTATTTAATCATACTTACCTTTATAATCTATTGACATTTGACATATTATATCTATGTAGATACCTTGGTTTATAAATGTAAATTTGATTTAGTTTATTTCAGGCGTGTGAAGGACTGTAACTGTGTTTATAATCCACCGCTAGGTGGCGCTGTACGCTTGATATATCGCGCTATCAAAGTGTTTTTCTTGAAAAAAAAATATGTTTATTATGGAACATAAAATACATGTATCACTTATTCCACGTCATTAAATAAGAATTTGTAGGCATCCCTACTCATCGGCAAAGAAGACAGAGGGTGTAGGCCGAGAGAAAAAGCCGGCGTAAAAAACTCTCGGTACTCTTTTAAAATAACAAATCATCATATCATATACTCATTATGTCTTTTTATGCCCGTATCCCGCCCCGCATCACACCAGGCCTCCCGACCACCGCCGAGCTTCCCGCGCGAGTTAGTGCGCGCGGAGCATTCTGATGCCTCTTAAGGATCCAACTCTTCGAAACAAAAGGGCTGGAATGGAACCCTCCCGATGGCAACTCGGCGCGCACAAAGGACTTCGTCCGCAGGTCCCTCGCTGGGCTTCCCTCGGGTTTACCGGGGCTCTCACCCGGTGTGGTCTGACCGCAAGTCCAGTGCGCGCCCTACCAACACCGCCGTCGTGAGGGAGCTCCCCAACCCCACCGATACACATCAGCAAGTGCTGCGAGAGCGAGGACGCTCCGCAGCACCTACGAGGCCCAGGGCCGCTCCAGGCCCACCACAAAGACCGCCCCGCCGTTGAGCGGGGCGCGAACATGATACCCCCCGCCAGCCCTTGGGCGTAACGGGGTTCCCGGCGCCACCCGCGGGTGTAAGCGCGGAAGATAGCAATAGGTTTCCGTATCGCTTCTCGGCCTTTTGGCTAAGATCAAAGTGTACTACTATCTGTTCTTTTCAGCTTAATATCTGAAAGTTCCCGCATAGCGGGACCAGTATATTAAACTGATTTTTGAAAACTGACGCCATGTTCGGGGCTCGCTCCACTTCTGTCACGGGTCGGCCCGGCATTGCAGTGCCACCGGGATCGGCCCACCTAAAATTAAATATAATTTAAATTTATATACTTAGCTATAATGTGTAAATGTCTATAGCGTATAAAGGTAAGTTATGATTAAATAATTATAGGAATTGGCAGGTGTTGTCCTGTTTTGGGTACCTAATACCTATGAATAATCAATGTGTACCGTGACTAATAATTCAAAAATTTAATATAAATACACCCGTGTTTTGTTGCATTCGCAATTTATTCATGTTTATGGTTTATACACACGAATTTGAAAAAAATATGATTAAGAAGCGATTAGCAAGTACAAGATATACCTACAAGGCAACCGTGGTTGGTGAAATCGTCAATCGAGTTGGGTATCAGCGAAGGGACAAGTTAAAAGTACCCATAACCGATGAGCATGCATGGTGAATGTCATGAAAGGTATGTCAGGACCCTAGCAAGAGGGAGATGCGTGATATCTTTCTCCTTCGCAAAAATGCCGTAATAATATAAAATATTAGTGGATATTTACTACGAATATAATTTGAAACACCCGTTACGTATGGAATACTATAAACATAGGCAACCAGATATTCTCAGGTTTTTTGGACAAAAAATAACAAAGCAAAAATTCATTCTCTTCTAGACTTTATACGTCAATGTATACGCGAGGTCTAGCGACTCGACTGAATACAAAACCGTGATCCAAAATCTTTACGCTATCGACAATCGGGGGCTGAAGCTTCTTAACGCTCACTGCTTTCTCTAAATCGACAATTTCATATACACGTCTATAACTACATATGATAGAAATTATATATTTAAAAGAGGGACATGTTACTCCTTTTATTTAGGAGGAAATGGAGGCGAGAGAGGACAAAAGAGGCCTTCTTGCGAACGGCGGCTATATGCTTACTGAAAGACATGCCGCTATCGAGTGTTACTCCTAGATATTTGACGGATTTTTGCCAAGGGATGGCTTGCCCGTATAGGGTTACCTATTTTTTGAGGCGGAATTTTTCCCGAGAACGAGCGAGCGCACCGGAGTTACCTCTGGCAAAGAGAACTGCGACGCTTTTCTCGGGATTTATTTGGAAGACCCATTTCCGAAACCATTCGCCTAGCGACGTAGCAGCGTAGTAGCGCATTACAACTTCTCGATACATTGACTGCAATAATCTGTTACGAAAATAGTAGTTTTGTAGACAAGATCTACAATTTAAGAGGTAGGTGCGGAAGGATAAGTCTGTGTAGATATGACGTGGTATAAAGTATTCATCGGGAGGTAACCGCCAACGCGATGTGCATGGGCGTGTAAAGGAGTTAAGAACTGATCCCGACTGACACGCACTTGAAACTTTGCACGTACTTGGAATATTATTAAATATCTGTAAGAGCTGATACTGATTTTTATATGGGTTAGGTAGATTGTCAGTCCCGCCTCACTAGTCACGTCCTGCCTCAATACTAACCATTTAAGTTTCAGAGCGACATATGTCTGAAGAGAAACATACGTATTATTTCATTAATAAGCAATGCGAACCAATCTACAACGGGTTTACAAACAACATCAACTAGCTATAATAAAATTATAAATAGGACAGTAGATGGAGAAATTAATTTGTTGGAGTGTTCAGAGAATTTACAGCTACCTTGAAAGATATTATTGGATTGTACAATAACAATATTCATCACGGTAATAATTAACTCTAAGATTAATTGAACATCTCTGAGTGATATAATCTGAAATCAAATCGGCAAAGCGCAGGGGGGCCTACCATGAACTTTCTTAAAACAATCCAGTTGAGATGCAGCGGAGTTTAGGTACCTAAAGTCAATAGCATTTTTTCGTACCATGACCGCCTATAAGCTGAAACGTATTAGCATCGCAAGACCGAATGAAAGAACGATAATTTTGTTTGTGGTTTCTATATGTAAGTTTAGAAATTTAACTGTCAAACTTACTTCGACAGATGTTTCTATAAAAATAAATAAAATATAAAATTATTTTAAATAATTCATCATTTTCAATAAGCTATTATGTTTTAATATATATATTTATTTAATGTAAAACTATTCTTTTAATATATTTTAAACGTAAAGTTTTCTGGTGCTATGATAGTGACACTTATTATTTCTAAACGTTTCCGTCAAATTTTGATAGGAGCTTTCAATATTTTGGTGTTTACAAAATTTCGGTTTTATAAATTGTTTAACTTATAAAATAATAGAATGGGGTAAGTATTGTTCACAAATTTGTTAATTAAAAATAAATACCTATATCGAAGTGAATTACTGATACGTATATAGATACGTATTATATCATATAAAACCCTTTGCAAAAGATATTACAAATCAACTTATTACTCTAAAATCATAAGTAACTATAATAAAAATTAATTCCTTCAAATTGTACAAATTCTATTTATACGTTAACTAATGCATATAATATAAATAATTTTATTTTCTTTACAGGAACCTCTTCATCTCCCAATACGGCTGGTCACCGGGGGATAATGACTACAACCCTCCATCTCGACTACAAAAACCTCGACATATGCACTTACAATGCAATTTGTTAAAATAAATTATTATTATAACGAACCACCAAACTATTCCAATAAAGGTTAATAACAGTACATTACAATATGTTTAAAGCTATGTTTACCTTTTTTTTTTTTAACGTCAGGAAATGCTTTTACGCATATCCCTGCTGAATTTTACTCCAGCAGGGATTATGTGGGACTCAGACATAATATCTACAACCCTACCCACTAAAACCTGACGGATGCCTTCAGCTCGCCAAAGGGCGGAGGCAGGTAACAGCTGAGCCCTTTCCTTTACCCCGCCAAACGCGAATGCCACAATACCACCATGACTCCTCCCACGAACAAATCTTCAGCATCTTAACTTAGGGTAGACGTGCGAAAGCACGGCGTCGCTGCCCCGGTCGTCGTTTTCTTACCGGCGGAGCATCAGAATTATTTTCACGCTGACGCTCCGCATTCTCTTTCTGAGTCATGACGGCCTCACAAAAAGCCTTGAAGGCATTCCAAGGACCGTCATTGTCAGCTTCCACCATTCTTTGGATAATTAGTGGAAGCGACAGATTGCCATCAGTGCTATCAGCAAGGACCGAGCGAAAGCCGTCCCAAGCCGGACACTCCTCAACTGTATGCCTCACCGTATCCTCTATACAGTCACAATGATGACAAGCAGGTGTCGCCTCTCTTCCACCGATTCGATGCAGGTAACTTCCAAAGCATCCATGCCCAGAGAGAACCTGAACGAGCCGATAGGAAAGCGATCCCATCCGTCGGTCCACCCAGTGTTTCAAAAAGGGACGAATAAGATCAACGGTTTGTAAACCAAACCGACATTCACTTAACTCATCCCTCCTTCCAGACCATGACTACCTCCAGAGGTGGGTCAAAACCACCACTCCTGGCTTCAGCTCTTCTCCAAAAATTTTTAGCCAAAGCCAAAGCTTCCAAATGCCAAGGCGGAGTGGCGGCTATGACACATGCCGCGTCACAGGATACGGTACGGTATGCCCTCGCAATTCTTATGGCAACTTTACGCTGTGACCGTCTCAGTAAAGCCTTGTTGTAAATTGACAACTTATCCGCCCATATCGGACACCCATAAAGAGCCTTTGCACGCACCACTCCAGCATAAAGGAGCCTACAGCCCCCGCCTGGCCCACCGATATTTGGCATTATACGACCCAATGCCATTGCAGTTGAATCAAGCTTGGGTTCCAGGGCAGCAAAATGAGCTTTGAAAGTCCATCGGGCGTCAAGAACCAACCCGAGGTATTTCAATGTCAACTTTAATGCCATATGAACACCATCCACTTTTATCTCAGCGCCTCTAGGTGGTGACCTCCTAGCGAAACATATGACATCCGATTTTTGTAAAGCGACTCGAAGACCAAGTTGTCTTATACGAGTCACTACTTCTTCCACTCCAGCAGTAACCAACAAACTCGCCTCCTGATAATTACATCCCTTGGCCGTCACAAGTGTATCGTCAGCATAACATATTAAGCCTACTCCTGGCATCAGTCTACCTCGAAGGACTGCATCAAATCCAATGTTCCACAAAACAACGTTCCCAAGAACAGACCCCTGTGGAACTCCACATCGAACCTGATAGCATCTCCAACCTTCCCGACTTGAATAAATGATCGATCGATCAGAGAGATAAGTTCCTACTACATGACGTAAGTACACAGGCACACCATGATAAAAGAGACCATCCATAATCACTTTCCAGGGAATAGTATTGAACGCATTCGCAATATCTAGCGAAACCGCCAACACAACCCCACCCTTAGTCCCTTAACATAGCTAAAGCGTCAATTGTAGAGCGAGCACGCTGAAAACCGAATTGAGCATCAGACAGATTTGGACCAATAATCTGAGGATGCTTCTCGAGGCGCGAGACAATTATTCGCTCAAACAGTTTGCCCACCTCAGGAAGTAAAACAATAGGTCGATAGGCCGAAGGTGAATCTACTGGTTTCCCGAACTTCCTAAGAAGAAGCAATTGTCCGACTTTCCAGCTATTAGGGAATATGCCTTTCCTCAAAAGATCAGAAAGGAGATCTCGAAATCTGTTAAATAAGCCATTATTAAGAGATTGCACCCAAACCGTTCCATGCAATCCATCTGGACCAGGAGCGGTTTTTTTGAAGTCAACATTAATAAAAGGAGTAGAATCACAAGGAAACAGCGATGTAACAACCATCC